CCCTTAGCAATGCTAGCGAAGAGAAGAAGAGAGAGAACTCAAATTACTAGCATACGGGATGAAAAAGGCAATATCACAACAGACACTTCAGAAATACAGAAGATAATCAAAAACTATTTTGAATCCTTATACTCCAATAAATTAGAAGATAGTGAAGGCATAGATAAATTTCTTAAGCCATATGATCTGCCCAGATTGAGTCAGGAGGATATAGAAAACCTAAACAGACCAATATCAATTGAGGAAACAGAAGAAACCATAAAAAGACTACCAACTAAGAAAAGCCCAGGTCCGGATGGGTATACAGCAGAATTTTACAAAACCTTTAAAGAAGAACTAATACCAATACTTTTCAAGCTACTTCAGGAAATAGAAAAGGAAGGAGAACTTCCAAATTCATTCTATGAGGCCAACATCACCCTGATACCTAAACCAGACAAAGACACTTCAAAGAAAGAAAACTATAGACCAATATCTCTAATGAACCTAGATGCAAAAATCCTCAATAAAATTCTGGCGAATCGGATACAAAAACATATCAAAAAAATTGTACACCATGATCAAGTAGGATTCATCCCTGGGATGCAAGGCTGGTTCAATATACGGAAATCAATAAATTTTATTCACCACATCAATAGACTTAAAAATAAGAACCATATGATCATCTCGATAGATGCAGAAAAAGCATTCGACAAAGTACAGCATCCCTTTATGTTCAAAACTCTAGAAAAACTAGGGATAACAGGAACATACCTCAATATTGTAAAAGCAATCTATGCTAAGCCTCAGGCTAGCATCATTCTGAATGGAGAAAAACTGAAGGCATTCCCTCTAAAATCTGGAACAAGACAGGGATGCCCTCTCTCTCCACTTCTCTTCAACATAGTTCTCGAAACACTGGCCAGAGCAATTAGACAGACGAAAGAAATTAAAGGCATAAAATTAGGAAAAGAAGAAATTAAATTATCACTATTTGCAGATGATATGATTCTATATCTAGCAGACCCAAAAGGCTCTACAAAGAAACTATTAGAGCTAATAAATGAATTCAGCAAAGTGGCAGGATTTAAAACCAACACGCATAAATCAAAGGCATTCCTGTATATCAGCGACAAATCCTCTGAAATGGAAATGAGGACAACCACTCCATTCAAAATATCTTCAAAAAAAATAAAATACTTGGGAATCAACCTAACAAAAGAGGTGAAAGACTTATACAATGAAAACTACAGAACCCTAAAGAGAGAAACAGAAGAAGATCTTAGAAGATGGAAAAATATACCCTGTTCATGGATAGGCAGAACTAACATCATCAAAATGGCGATATTACCAAAAGTTCTCTATAGGTTTAATGCAATACCAATCAAAATCCCAACGGCATTTCTTGTAGAAATAGAGAAAGCAATCATGAAATTCATATGGAAAAATAAAAGACCCAGAATAGCAAAAACAATGCTAAGCAAGAAGTGTGAATCAGGCGGTATAGCGATACCAGACTTCAAACTATACTACAGAGCAATAGTAACAAAAACAGCATGGTACTGGTACCAAAACAGGCGGGTGGACCAATGGTACAGAATAGAGGACACAGAAACCAATCCACAAAACTACAACTATCTTATATTTGATAAAGGGGCTAAAAGCATGCAATGGAGGAAGGATAGCATCTTCAACAAATGGTGCTGGGAAAACTGGAAATCCATATGCAACAAAATGAAACTGAATCCCTTTCTCTCGCCATGCACAAAAGTGAATTCAAAATGGATCAAGGAGCTTGATATCAAATCAGAGACGCGCCGTCTGATAGAAGAAAAAGTTGGCTACGATCTACAGTCGGTGGGGTCGGGCTCCAAATTCCTCAATAGGACACCCATAGCACAAAAGTTAATAACTAGAATCAACAAATGGGACTTACTCAAACTAAGAAGTTTTTTCTCAGCAAAAGAAACAATAAGAGAGGTAAATAGGGAGCCTACATCCTGGGAACAAATCTTTACTCCTCACACTTCAGATAGAGCCCTAATATCCAGAGTATACAAAGAACTCAAAAAATTAGACAATAAGAGAACAAACAACCCAATCAACAAATGGGCCAAGGACCTGAACAGACACTTCTCAGAGGAGGACATACAGTCAATCAACAAGTACATGAAAAAATGCTCACCATCTCTAGCTGTCAGAGAAATGCAAATCAAAACCACCCTAAGATACCATCTCACTCCAGTAAGATTGGCAGCCATTAGGAAGTCAAACAACAACAAGTGCTGGCGAGGATGTGGGGAAAAGGGTACACTTGTACATTGCTGGTGGGACTGCAGATTGGTGCAGCCAATTTGGAAAGCAGTATGGAGATTTCTTGGAAAGCTGGGAATGGAGCCACTATTTGACCCAGCTATTCCCCTTCTTGGTCTATTCCCTAAAGACCTAAAAAGAGCATGCTACAGGGACACTGCTACATCGATGTTCATAGCAGCACAGTTCACAATACCAAGACTGTGGAACCAACCAGATGCCCTTCAATAGACGAATGGATAAAAAAAATGTGGCATTTATACACAATGGAGTATTACTCTGCATTAAAAAATGACAAAATCATAGAATTTACAGGGAAATGGATGGCATTAGAGCAGATTATGCTAAGTGAAGCTAGCCAATCCCTAAAAAACAAATGCCAAATGTCTTCTTTGATATAAGCAAAGTAACTAAGAACAGAGTAGGGACGAAGAACAGGAGAAGAAGATTAACATTTAACAGGGATGAGAGGTGGGAGGGAAAGGGAGAGAGAAGGGAAATTGCACGGTAATGGAAGGAGACCCTCAGGGTTATACAGTGGAGGGAGTAGAGAGAGAGGAGGGGAGGGGAGGGGAGAGGTGGGGAGGGGGGAGGGTGGATGATGGGAAAGGCAGCGGAGCACAACAGACACTAGTATGGCAATTTGTAAATCAATGGATGTGTAACTGATGTGAATCTGCAATCTGTGTATGGGGTGAAGGTGGGAGTTCATAACCCACTTGAATCAAAGTGTGGAATATGATATGTCAAGAAATTTGTAATGTTTTGAACAACCCACAATAAAAAATTAAAAAAAAAAAAAAAAAACTATTTTGTTGGGGCTGGGATTGTGCTCAGCAGTAGAGCACTCGCCTAGCACGTGCAAGGCCGTGGGTTCGATCCTCAGCACCACATAAAAAATAAATAATAAAATAAAGATATTTTAAAAAACTGTTTTTTTGTACACAAAAGTAGGGAATTTTATGTTTTGTAAATCATATCCTAATTAAAAATTACCTCAAAACTCTAATTACAATATGAGCTATGGAAAAGACATTGAAGAATAAAGTTTTATTATTTTTTTCCAGAAAGACCCCATAGTGTACAGAAGTTTTTCCAAAGTTCATCATTTCCATCAGCCCTATTTTACATCCTCAAAGTTCACTCTCGTATCCATTCTCTCTCACTCTATATGCAAAATTGTAATTTTAGTTGAAAAAAATGTTGAATCAAGAAAGGAGACCCTTGTTTCCAGCTCTTCTACCAAAGGACAGAGAGTAACTATGTCTGTTTTCTCACCTACATCATATTCAAAAGATGGGTATCAGCCCAATCATTAGAACTCCCCAGAAAAGCAACCTGTCAAATCAGTGTATTACCTACCAATCAGTTAGGTATATTTATTAAGCACTTATATCACTCAGTACTAAAATAGAGGGATGGGGAAAGGAGAACTACAAACAAAGCATTGGCCTTGTCCTTCAGGTGTCAGTGATTCTTCTGTGACTATGCCAGGTATCAGGAACCAGTTTGAGTGGTATATTAGTGTTGACTTTCACTGGGAGTGTCAGTCATATGACATAGTCTCATAGCAGAGATAGAATGAGAGGTTCATGGATAATAAGACTGCAACTGAACTACCATGTTTACTGGGACCAAATTATTTTCCAATAACTAATTAGATCCTACTGAATCCTGCTTAGAAGGTTTTTAGGACAAATAGTTAAAATTTTCAGGTGACATCATGAAGTTTGACCCCCTCCTTGAGATCAAGCCTAGATAATCCAGATGACATATTAAAAGGCTTCCTAACAGTTCCAAAGGGGTTGGACAAATCACTAAACACACATACTTCCTGATACCCACCCATTAATATTGCAGTACTATCACAGTTGGAGAATATACACACAGACTAGTGTGCCTGATTTAGAAGTTTCTATGTGGGTATAAAGAAATCTAGAGCCATAATTTAGTAAATAAGCATCTATCTTCTAATAGACTCCCTGCAAAATCCACTCTTTTCATCAAATAAGATAGCATTTTGTTTCCTAGAACTTCTTACATGAAGTTCTAGTCTAAGACAGAAGCATCAGTCTAAGAATGGCAACCTACAAAACCCATATGATTAATGCAGAATCATTAATTGACCACATTTTGCTTTTCAAATAATCCCAGTTGTGACACTAGAGTACTGCCTAATTGGCTTCAAATTCATTTGTTGTCATAGAATAATATCTAGCCCACAGACTTATGAATATAAGCTTTTTAAAAAGTTCTTCATTATGTTTAAACCTTTGGCACATGGATTATTTTAATCTTTTGTGAGTACAGGCTTCCTGGGATGAAGACAATTTTCAAGAATTTTAAGTTTAGAATTAGCATTATTTGGGATGGCCCTGTTGGTATTCCTATGTCTGGCATGAACTAACAGATATGAATTTATCACATGTGTCATAAGTATAAAATTTCAATACCTTCTCAAAATCCACATCTAGTGTTATTATTTCTCAAGAGAAGGAAATGAGAGTAGAAGGTGGAATGGCCAGAAGAGAGGGTGGTGGGGGGAAGGGTAACCGGTGAAAGAGTAAGGAAGGGGCAATGTATGAGAAGCAGAAAGGACAGGAGTTCATCAGAGAGGAGAAAATGATCTGCCAAAGATCACAGTCTAGGCTATGAAAGGAAAAGAAGAGAATGCCACATTTGCCAGTCCCCATTTCCCTGGCACCTACTTTGGATGCTTGAATGCCATCAGACATCGCTCATACTTTCCCACCATGCTCCAGCCCATGACCAGGCCATCGGTGCTTCCTGAGAGGAGATGCCAGTGGTCAAAGAACAGGCATTTCACAGGTCCCTCATGCCCAGTGAGAGTCTGCAAGAAAATATGCCATTGTTTTTAATCACTGAAAAGATCCTCCTTCAATTCCAACTGTGACTCCTCCAACCAAAGCTGGAGGATTCTTTAGATGAATCCAAAGTCACACTGCACACATCCATGACTGCCATTCACTTGGAATGTCCTTGATCTGCTTTTGCTTCGGATCTGAGAAAGGCCAAGGGCTTCATGCTTCCCTCTCTGCAGAGTTCTCTCCCCAACTGAGGAAGAATATAATTGAGTAAGGGCCTTATTTCTGATGTGTCTGTGGCTGAAGCATGCACCATCTTTCTGGAGTGCCAAGAGGGCCAGAAATTCATCAGTAGGGTGAAGGGTAAAGTATTCCATCACCAGCAACTTGTCAGAACCCAGAAGGCATAAGGGGCATCCCTGTTCTGCATCTGAGGTTCAGCCGCAATGACAAGAATGATGGAGAAAAACTCTCAAGCAAAGCTAGCCATTTGTCACTGTGATCCTGTGTTCCTGGCACAAATTATCTCTCACTACCACTCACTGAGGCAAAGGGGTCCAAGTTCAGCAAGAACATGTTTTATGAACCTTTGCTATGGTTTGGGTATGTCCCATGGAATTCATGTGTTGGAAATTATCCCCAAAGTCATAGGTTAATGGTATTTGGAGGCGAGGTCTGGGAAGTGACTGAATCATAAGGTTCTGCCCTCATGAATGAATTAATCCATTCATAGATTAGGGGATTGATGGGTTATCTCAGTAGTGGCTTTGTTATAAAAGACCGACACACTTGCCCTCTATCTTATCATGTGACACCATTCACCATGACATGACCCTGCAGGAAGGCTCTCACCAAATGCCAGCATCATGCTTGTGGACTTTTCAGCCTCCAAAACAGTGAGCCAGATGAACCTTATTCTTGATAAATAACCCAGTCTTGGGTGTTTTGTTATAGCAACTGAAAATGGACTAAGTCAATCCCTTTCAAGGCAGCCAATGTTCTCTTCTCATTAGAGAGTAAAGAGGAAGAAAATTATTTGTCCATCCCCAATGTTTTCTCCTTACTAAAAGAATAAGGAGGTGGGGGCAGGGGGCTTTGTTTGTTTATACCTTTACCTCATGCTAGACATTAAGTACAATATTCTGGAAAAGAATAAGGTACTTTATCCCTGAGGCCTGTATAGTGTGCTGAGTCAGAATCCAGCCTTCTTCCTCCAACCTTGTGAGTCACTATGTGGGTGGTAAAGCTCCTGACCCTGCACCAACTCAGAATGCCTCCCCCTTAGGGTCCTTTCCCTTTAGTGCCTCAGCATGGTGGTAAGTCCATTGCTCAAGGATGGTCTGGGGGTCTACATGAGGGAGACACCATCCGTCTTCATGAATCATCAGCAACAGTGGCCCTAACTTCATCTCAGCCTACTGCCTTGCTCACCTTTACCAGCTGGGCCAAGGCAAGGTGCCACACTTTGACGATCCCTCGCTCACAGCTGCTCACGATGTAGGTGTCATTGATCCTGGTAGCCAAAATGGGGTCTTTGTGTTTATATGTCTTCAGGCACTTCCCTGTGTCTACATCCCATTCTGAAGAGGAGATGGGGAAAGGGAGAACAAAGGAGAGTGGGGTAAGGGAGAGTTATAGTAGAGTTCTGCCCCCCATCATAAAAGCAAAGATCAGCTGGGCTCATTGAATCAGACCCAGAGGAACTTCACCTGGCCTAGCATCCTGCTGATTTGCCAGAAGCTCCACATACCTGCACACACAGCTGCCTGAGCTAGCTCTCTTCCCTTGGAAGAGCTAGTAAAGCAGAAGACCTTGGCTCTAACCCTGGAGCTTTGACTTGGGTTCCAAGTGCTAGATAGCTCATCTCCAATAAATCTATTCTTCAAGCCTGAAAACGCTTGCTATTGAGGAGGTTTCATGAAAATACAGCATATTTTTAGTGTTGTTATTCTTCCCAAATGTTGTCTTCCTGACCCACTCCTGATATTGCCAAAAAAATAAGTAACTTGTCTACCTTCACTTTTCTGAATAATTCTGTATCTGACTTTTGAATTTTATGAAAGAATTTCCATGACTAGGGGTGGGTTTGATGCTGCTTCTACATAGTCTGGGTTACAGCAACTGCCCTAGTATAGTAGGTACTGTGAGAGGGGTTGGGTATGTACGTGTGTCCATCAGCTTTTTGTCACTGATCAAAATATCTGACAAGAACAACTTCACCAAGAAAAGTTTATTTTGAGCTGATGGTTTTAGAGGTTCAGTCTATGGTTGGCCAACTCCATTGCTGTGGGTCCTAGTGAGGCAGAATATCACGGTGGAAGAAATTAGAGGAAGAAAACTACTCAGCTCATGTCAACCAGAATGCAGAGAAAGGGCAAGGAGGGCACACACGTAGTGACTTACTTCCTTCAACCACACCCTATCTGCCTACAGTTACCACCATTCATTCCATTCCAATTAATGGATTAATCCCCTGATTAGGTCATAGCTCACATAATCTAATAATTTCACCTCTGAACATTGCTTCATTGTCTCACAAGCTTTTGGAGGATAACTCATAACATAACAAACCATAACAAAAAAAATTGGAGACCAGGGCTAGAAGGAAGGGGGTGAGACAAATTTAGGGATGAAAACTTTAAACCCTGCTTCATCACCACCACCACCACCACCACCAAAAAACAAAACATGTAGCCTAAGACAACAAAATAATAAGCACAATCAAGACTTGATAAGCACTACAATGAGAAAGGAACCACTCAAAATGCCTGGCTTGTATACCTCATCACACAAGACAGGTCCTATTATTAATCCCAACTATTCAGATAAGGAAACTGAGGCATAGAGTTCAATAACCAGCTCAGGTTCACACAGGTGGGAAGCAGCCCAGCTGCTTTGAATCCAAGTATTCGGTGGCCTCTGGTTCTATTAACCATTTATGTGAAGTGAACCCTAGCTATTGCTTTTCCCCATTTTTTTTTATGTCTATCTTGGCCTATTTATAAACCCAATGGGGAAACTGAAAGACTAAAGATTTATTGGTAATATTCTGTGGTTTAACAAACTTTAAAAGTTAAGACTGTACTTTTTAGTTCTCCTTGTTCATTCTGCTTTGGTAGCCCAGGCAGGTGGGAAGAACCCAGGGGAAGCAGGCAGGTTGGTGACCAGGGGCAGGATTAGGGTGAAGAGAAAGATTTTGATATTTTGTTCATTGTGAATTTTGTGTATTAATTTTGCTTTTTAAAATACTACATTGAAATATGTATGTTGATTACTGAGTTGTCTTGGTGTCCCCTCAAATTGGAGCCTAACTTCCTCTCCCCAGTCCTGACCTCACTGGTGGCCCACAAAACTCTCCCAGACTGCATGGAGGTCATGGTTACCCTTCCATCTTCAAACCATCACCTGGAGAGTTCTCACTTTTACTGTTGCACCCCTCAGAGCAACAGTGGCAATGACATTCAGTCAGACAGAGGAAGGTAAAGAGGTTTTCTCATCAAGTCTGAGAGTTGGCAAATGGAACCCCACTGCACTGTTCCTTTCCCACATCTTTTCCTTCTACCTGCCCCTAACATGCTGTGGTTTTCCAAGTCCCTGACTTTTCTTCTCTTTTCAATCTTAACTCCTGTTTCTCTGGGGAAATCCCACCCACACTTAGTGCTTCTACTTTTCAGTATATAGTCATTCCAACATATCCATGGCTTCCACATCCTCAGATTCAACCCACTACAGATCTAAAATAGTCAGAAAATTGTGATCATATTATATGAAATAAGAAGTGTTTACAAAAATTCAGTATAGAAAATATTGAAATCATCATATCTATTAAGAAGGGATTATAATATCTCCATCCAAAGGAGCTACTTCAAATATTAAATTACAAATAGTGATAAAGTTTTGAGAAATATTTGACCAGGATGCAAACACCTTGGCATAGTCATTCTTCTGCCTACCACAATCAGCATGTCCAAAACTGAACCCATGATCTTTTCCCCATTTCTATCTTTCTACCATGCTTTTCCTCTGAGGTCCTTATTATTTCCATTAATGATAATTCCATACATCTAGTGGCCTGAATTTAAAAATCAAAACTTGATTTATTATCTGCACCTCTATATTTGGCACTTTCATATATAGTTAGTGGTAATGTCCTGCCAATTTTTCCTCTAACAATCTCCATTCCATCTGGGCCACTGAATGTAAAGTCACGTCCATTGAAGTCTCTTCACACTTGCTTGTTCTCCAACATCCTGAAGACATCATGCTAGTACTCTAGGCTGAAGATGTCTTAACTTGTCCCCTGTATCCATAGACACCCCTTCTAAGTCCTTCACCAATCACTCACTGGAGTTACCTTTCTAAAATACACATATAATCATATCAATTCAAACCTTAAAATGCATTTATGGCTTTCCATGTCCTATAAGATGAAGTTTAGTTTTGTACCATGATGTAGAGGGAACTTTAGAATCTGACACCAAACGAACTTACTAGCCTGATCTCCCATTCCACACACTACAGTCCTGCCACACCAAAGAATGGGAAATTCTCTGAATACACTATCTTCTTCAGTCTCTATATATTTGCCTGATGAGTTCCCTCAACTTAGAATATATTTTACTCTCACTCTTTTTTGCCTATAAAAGTACTCATCCTTAAGATCACAGACAAATAGCATCCTATCTGTGGAGCTTTATCTAATTTACCCTTATATGTATTGTCCCTTAGAACGCCACATGTGGCCAGGTATGGTGGTGCACACCTGTAATCCTAGCAACTCAGAAAGCTGAGGCAGGAGGATCACAGGTTTTAGACCAGACTCAGCAACTTAGTGAGGCCCTAAGCCATTTAAAAATAAAAAGGGCTGAAGATGTGGCTCAGTGGTAAAGCAACCTCAGGTTCAATTCCTAATACCAAGAATTAAAAAAAATAACTCCACATATGGTTAGGAGGACATGACTTAGAACCAGACAATCTTTTTTTTTTTTTTGAAATAATTTGGTGTTTTATGGAATAGCATTCTATTTCCAGACACATTAGCCTTCTTACAGCCAAAGGATTGGGAAATTGCCAACAAGCACAGCACACAAAATAGTTTAAAACAAGGGACAACTCCTGAGTGTAGTTTTCCACAGCCTAATATTAACCATACTAATGACATCAAACTGTATATTACAAAAAGAGAACACCAGGTTTAATACCTTATGAAATATGTACAGAAGTTGAACATTCATGTATGATATAATTCAAGTCATAATTCAATTATGAATGTAATGGGACATTCTTATATAGTGAAAAAGGTCTAGTTGATTACCAAAAAATGCATGTAAACCATAAAAGATAAAAACTACTTAAAAACACAAAATTCTAACCACTAGGTTTAAGCTTTCATTTTTAAAAAGTATATATATATATATATATATATATATATATATATATATATATATATATAAACACACACACACACATATATATTTACAATCTTTAAATTTCATACATTTGTTAATTTTACATGATCTTAATTAACAGGTGACAAAAAGCAACAAAAAAACCCTTTTAATCATTTTTATAACAGAAAAAAATCAATAGGGAGGTTGGCAGAATGTAGTATACACAGTAGCTAAAATTCCAAAGGCAGGGACTTTATTATTAATGGAGTCATAAAATAGACAAAACCAAAAGCATATGCTAGTACACAAGCAGTCTCACTTCAGAGACTTCATTGCAGGGACCCAGTTTTCTTATTTAAAAAAAATGATTATAAATAATAATTATCTAAAGCATTGTTGGGAAGATTAGATGCTTTCTTGGGTGTGAAAATTCACAGCACAGTTCATACCAGGACCTTCCTTTAAGGTTTAAAAACCTCAAACAGCATTATTTTGTTCTTAATACGAGAACCAGTGTTTAAACTATAAAATCCTTAATAGGAGTGTTCAGCCCAGTTGATTAACAAAAGTTATTTATAAATGCTTCAATACTGATGATATGAAACTGATGATATTAAAGCTACCAAAACTTTGTAATGAACACCGAGTTTGGCTTCCTAGATAAGAGTCCAAAGTCATTTGCCTTCTGAGAACATTTCAGAGATATCAGATAGATATTCCTTAATTTCTCCAGCACTGTGGCATCTGCCTTCTAAGTTTTCCGTCTATCATAGTCTCCAACCATCTTCTTGATGTGTGACAATTTACTCTTCAACTGTTTGCAGTAATTTCTCTTTCTTTTGTAATCTGCAGATCCCTTAACTTGCTTCAGTCTATTGTATTCATCAGCAGCAGCCATGTACTCTTCACTTTCTTCTCTATAGTCATCCAATTCTTTATCTAGATGAGAGAGTTCTCTATTGACCTCATCAAGTTCTGCTTGTAAGCTCTTGTATTCCTGCAGGCCAGTGTCAAAATTTCGCTTGTAGAGTTGTCTTTGTTGATCTGAAGTGATGGGTGGATATTCCCTGATCCAGTCCTCCTCCAGCTCATCACAGGATTCTCCACCCGTCGTGTAGTCTGTCTCATAGTGATCTTGCTCTGTTATCTTGGGCTTTCCTGCTCTTCCCTTAGTGGGAGCCCTTTTTGAAGGTGTCTCTAAGTTACCACTGCTGCTGTATCGAGCCTGTCTGAAGTCATCCATGGGTGAAGTGAGGGGAAGCTCCTGAGCCACTTCAGGCACCGGTGGTGTTGACTTATAGGAAGACTCTGGATATGACCGCTTGCCATTCACTTTGTCATTGGAAGAGTACACCATGGAACTATCGACTCTCTCCACGTAGTCAGATGGGGGTGGAGGTATGTCTTGTGTGCCTGCAGACACATTTTTAACCCATTCTTCCACATTGGGTGGCTGTTCCTCATAAATGTGTTCTTTGTCCCACAAAATATTGGACTTGTCATACCGGTCCATCTTTCTTCAAGTTTTCACAGCAAAGAAAATTATTAAAGCAAAAGCCACAATAATCATGAATCCTAGCACAATGGCAATAGCCTCCTGGGGATCCACCACACAGTAGTGATACAAATACTGATCCACATAGACTCCAGTAACTGCAGGTGTATAGAACTGGTTGCAGAGGGCATATATTTGTGAACTATATAAAGATCCAGAAGCCTGGGCAGTTGGGTTGACTCCCATTATATAGACAATTGTGGCAATAAACACCAGGATACCTAGGATAGCACTCACTATTATCACAGTCAAGTAATATCCTCTTGTTCTGGATATTTCAGATCTTATAACACTGGTAACAAATATTGCCAATGAGGCAATGAAACAAAAGGCAGCCATGGCCAACAGGAAACCCTTTGCCGCTCTTGGATCCGTATAGCCTCCTCCATAGCCATAACCGTAGCCATAACCATAGCCATAGCTGCCTCCATAGCCACCAAAGCTACTTCTTCCATAAGGGTAGCCAAAACCACCTCCTAGTAAGCCAGTTCCATAGCCTCTGTCCCAGGCAAGTGTGGAGGCAACACAGGCAAATATAGCAATACACATCACAATAATGAGCATAGACAGAATACAAATCACTCCTGGAGGAGATGTCCATTTGTAGAAGTGAAGAATTTCATCTTCTGGGTAAAAAGAATACGCAGGCTGAGAGAGCATTGGCCGAACATGCATTTCTCCACCATATATGTCATTGCTTGGTGCATAATGATTCGGTTTGAATTATCAGGTCTATAAGGAGGCAGACTTTCAAAAGGCCTGGATGACATGGCTGATGTCACTGGTCACCTGCTTTAGGATGAGCAATTCCCTGTAGCTCCCAAGATCAGCCAATCTGGCAGGAACACCTGACTCCAAGTGGGCAGCCAGCAGGCAGCCAGAGACCGAGCGGGGGACTCAGCCTTCCTCCTCCTTCCCCTCACCCCAGAACCAGACAATCTTGAGTTCAAATCCCCCATCTACCACTTTGCATCTTTGATTTGAGGCATGTTATTTTTCTCTCTCAGTTTTTGATTGCTCATCTTTATCTTCTACCTCATGGGGTTCTTGTGAGGAGTAAATAAGATAATATGTCTAAAGCATCTATCACAGAGCCTGTCCCAAAATTGGTACTCAATAAATGACAGCTGTTATCATTCATCTGTTACTATGTCCTCCATTATATAGCTACATATTCTCTTCCATTAGAAACTGATGACCCTTTTGAGGAAATAAAAAGCCATATCTAAAGAACCATCTCATATTCATTTTTTTATCACCAGACCTAGCAGATGGATGGATGAATAAAAGAATAAATGGCTACCTATAGAAATTAACAAACCCAGCACACAGATCTGGGGAAACGCCTTTGGAGAATGTAAGGCAATTCTTTCTCACCTTTCACTTGACAGTCTCTGGCTCCAGATACAAGTTTGTTCTTATACAAATCCATGCAAGTTACTGTTCCCTGGTGGCCATAGAAGATCCGTAAGCAAACCCCAGTTTTCAGATCCCAGTATCTGCAGGAAACAGGCCAAAATAATGACTGGGATTTTCTGAGGGCCCAAGGGATCAATCACACTGTATAGTGTTTCTTTATATCGGTGGGTAGTTGGAAAGCAGCAGAGTTTCATGGTTAAGCTTAAGATTCAGACACCAGGACTTGAATCCCAGTTAAAGCACTATTTGGCGTAATTTTGGGAAAGTTACTTAATTTCTATGCAAGATCATTTTCTCATAGATACAGTGGTAATGGTAACAACAGTAGTTACTTTGTAGGGTTTTTGGAAATAATTAATGCACTAATAGAGTGAGCATCAACTGGAAATGAGTTCTACCCTCAGAGGACATTTGGAAGTATCTGGAGAGATTTTTGGTGGTTACAAAAGAGATTTTTGGTGGGGAAGGAGGAAATAGAGTCCAAGGATACTACTGAACACCCCCAATGCACAGGGGAGCCCCCACAATGAAGAATTTTTCATCTCCAAGTGTCAATAGCACAGAAGTTTAGAAGCACTGCACCAATGCAGCTAACATTAGGACAGTGACCCACACATAGAAAATGCTTGATAAATGGTAGTTGGATTTAGTTGGGAGGGTCTCTGGAATGACCACCACGAATAGGATTCACAGTACTGATACAATGGTAGACCTGATCTTAAAACAAAAGCAACAAAATAATTTACCATGTCACTTAGTTCAAAAATATTTTATGCACATCTAAAGCCTATCTAAGATATATATGGGAACACATATATGAGTCATGCTATTTTTCAATGAGGAAACTTGCCTGAAGACTCTTCTCTGTCATTGAAAAATTCTTTCACTTTAGCCAAGCTGCTCTTGTGACAGGACAAAGTTATAATATTAAGATAACTGACTCTGGAGCCAGCTGCCTAAGGTTCAATTCCAGGTCCATTACTTACTATTTGTGTGATCTTTGGTAAGTTTTAGAACCACTCTGTGCCTCAGTCTCTTCCTCCATAAATTTGGAATAAAAACATTTCTTATTTCCCAAGGTTATTTTAGGCTCAGAACTTAGTGAATGATTAATAAGTGTTTCTTGGGACATGAAAAGTTTTTTTCCTTCTAATATTCTCCAAAGTCCCACAGCCTTACCAATACCTTCCCCAGAGCCTGCTATGCATCCTTTCAGAGCCTGCTATGCAGCCACAGTGAATTCACGGGAATATGAAAGAAAGCATGTTCTAAATTTGTTTCTAGTAGCATGGCAGTCCTTGTGCCCAGGTTGGTTTATGTAATGTATGGAAGAAAAGACATGATAGACATTTTTAGAAAATGGGAATAGAAGGAACTTCCTCAACTTAATGCAACTTTAAACCAAAGTCACAACAGTATGCACTATTCTTAATGAAGAAACTGCACTGCTGAGTCTTTTTGAGAAGGGAAACAAGGTGACAGTGGCCACTCTCATGTGCTGTTGCTTGCCATGGCACTGGAAATCCCAGGCAAAGTTATAAAAAAGGGAATATAATATATTGTCATTATTGGCACCTAATAAGATCACCTACAAAATAAAACCAAATCAATATTAATGCATTAATGCATACTTTTAGCACTAATAAGAGAGGTGAGCAAGATTGCCAGACACAGTATCAACCTGCATAGATCAATAGTATTTCTCTACTCCAGCAATAACCAATTAGAAAATACAAATTAAGATAGCATTCATAATAGCAATAGAATTATATATAGACATTTAATAAGAATATGCAAGATTTTTATAAAGAAAACTATAAAGTTCAAAGAAAGAGCCAAGAAGATGATGCCAATGAATGCATTTCAAAAATTAATCTATAAATTCAATGCAACACCAATCAAAACTCTTTTTAGGTTTTTTTAAATTGATAAACTTAATCCAAAAACTCATATGTATACCACAACTGTTAACATGGAAAAGAGTGGAACTTTCCTCACTATGATCTATTCACCAAATGCAGTGCTAAAAATAAAATATATATAAAACATTTAAAACAGGGTAATTTTGATGCCATAACAGAAAAACAGCAACACGAATTCAGAGACATTTCCATGCATGTATGGAAAATGACCATGTGATAAATTGGGGTCCACAAATCAACAGAGGGCGGGGGGCAGAATAATTTGTCATCTTAGTAATTGCTGTGGGAGGAAAACTGTTCACTTTATCTAAAAATTTTTTAAAAAGTAATGGAAGCCCTATCTAACAAGCATACAAAGTAAAACTCCAGATAGATCAACTGACTATAAAAGATCAGACCATAAAGTCAATAACAGAAAATATTGGAAAATATCTCTGTGACCTCAAAATAGAAAGAACTACAAACATGAGAGGAAAAAATCCTGATAAACTGATGAATTTTATTACAACAATATTAAGAATTTTTGTTCAACAAAAGGGAACTATAAACATGGTTGATAAATTAAAGAATTGGAGATCATATTTGAAATTTTAAAACTGACAAGAGACCATCTAATTGGTTGTTTTAGGCTGTTCTCTGAGTTCTGTATATACATTTTATCTACTTGCTTTTCTAGTAATGGACACTAGATTGGATTGGCTCTAAATAATGCTGTATTGAACATCTTCATTTATGTCCCCTTGATGATGTAAGATGATTTTTAGGAATATGCACAAAAAATGAACTTGCTTAGATACAGGATAGGCAGCACCTAATTTGATTAAGAAGTACCTATTGAAGTCTGGAAAGATCTAGAAAAAAATACAACAGCAAATCAATAAGAAAATTGGAGCAGCTTTAAAGGAAAAGTAGGCCAAAGAACATAATCAGGCAATTTACAAAAGAAGAAGTCACAAAAGGTAAACTTATTAGTAATCAGAGTAATGCACATGGAAATGATTTTACACATATTCATCTGGCAAAAGTTTGAAAGCTGGATGATGTCCTGTGTTGGTAGGGAAATAGGGATGCTGGAGCCCTACTGGTAAAAGCATAGATCTGTACAGTGTTTCCAGACTTCAATATGGTACTTCTTAATCAAATTAGGTGCTGCCTAACCTGTATCTAAGCAAGTTCATTTTTTGTGTGTGTGCATATTCCTAAAAATCATCTTACATCATCAAAGAGACATACATGAAGATGTTCAATGCAGCATTATTTATTTATTTATAAAGTTAGTTAGTTTTTTGGTGGACACAATATCTTTATTTTATGTGGTGCTGAGGATCGAACCCAGTGCCTCATGAATGCTAGAGGAGCACTCTACCACTGAGCCACAACCCCAGCCTGCAGCATTATTTAGAGCCAATCCAATCTAGTGTCCATTACTAGAGAAGCAAGTAGGTAAAGTGTATATACAGAACTTGGAGAACAGCCTAAAACAACCAACTAGATGGTAACATGGGTGAATCTTTTGAAATATAGGGTGGGGGTTCAAACCTTAGGAACATAGATACAAATTATTGATACATGTACAGAATTTATCAATACACATTTTGAAAGAACACACAAATAAAAAGAAGAAAAATTAGGTGGTAGTCCAGTGGATAATAGAAGTAAAGAATAAAGGTAAAATAGCATAAATAAATAGTGTTAGCCATTAACACATACTACCAGACAAAAATTAAGAATTTCTGTTCATCAAAAGATGCCATAGAAAAATGAGAAGATAAGTCTTAACATGGAAGAAGAAATTTCCAATACAAATATAAAGAAGAGATTCGTATCCAGAAATTACACAAAATTCTTATGAAAATGTTGCTCCCTTCAAAAAAGAAGTAACTCTTATAAAAAGGAATCTCATAAAAGCATAAATGTCTCCCAAAACATATTGTTATGGTTAATTTTACACGTCAACTTGCAGAGAAGGTGCTTTGGAATGAGAGTAATATTTACATTGAACTTTGAGTAAAGCAGATGGCCCTCTAAAATGTAGACAGTCCTCATTCGATCAGCTGAAGGCCATGTACAGAACAAAAACGTGGATCTCCCCTAGCAGGACGGAGTTTTCCAGAACATTGCCTTCAGCCTTTATCTGCACCTTAAGTTCTGCAGAGCTCAGCCTTCCAGGCCAGACTACAGATTTTGAATTTGCCCACCTCCATAACCACTCAAACCAATACCTTACAATAAATCTTCATTTATGTACACATCCTATTGGTCTTGTTTCTCAGGAGAACCCTGATGTACATATGGAAAAAAAATGTTCAGTCTCACTAGAATAACCAAGGCTAGAATCAAAACCCTAAGGAGGTTTTATTTAGTACTCATCAGATTGGAAAAAATGTCAAAGACTGATTGACAAAAAGTCTTGGTGAGCTGGGTGCATGCCTGTAATCCCAGAGGCTCAGGAAGCTAAGGAAGGAGTATCGCAAATTCAAAGCCCAGCCTCAGCAAAAGCGAGGTGCTAAGCAACTCAGTGAGACACTGTCTCTAAATAAAATACAAAATAGGGCTGGGGATGTGGCTCAGTGGTCGAGTGCCACTCCCAACAAAAAGTATTGGTGAGTGTTTATAAGGAGGGATATTCTCATATCCTGTGGATGGAGGTATAAATTAATCCAACCATTTTGGAAAACAAAAATTCCCCTACTGAGAAGATATCTTTAAAAAAAAATTCATGCATGTGAGTACCAGGTGATGCCAAGACCATCTATGGAAGTATTCTTGGAAAGAATTAAAAACTAGAAATAATACAAATGTCCATCAACAGAATAGTGTGAGTTACAATACATTCATTCAATAAGATATTATATCTCTGTGAAAATAAATCATGACTGCTACCTACATCACATGGATCAATCTCAAAACAAAGTTCAGTGTAAGATTCAAGTACTGGGGCTGGGGTTGTGGCTCAGTGGTAGAGTGCTCACCTAGCGTGTGGGAGGCCCTGGGTTAGATCCTCAGCACCACATAAAAAATAAATAAAGATATTAAAAATATTTTTTTTAAAAAAGATTCAAGTACTGATGATTTTTTTAAAACATGATTCCATTTATGTTAAGTTCAAAAATAGGCAAAAATAATTAATATACTGGAGATATATAAACAAGAAGCAGAAACTATAAATAAACACAAGGGAGTAGTCAATACAAAATTTAGGGTAACATTATCCCTGATTGGAAAGAGGATAAAAGCAATAAGGGAAAGGCACCCATGGGTGATGGAGGAGGGGTAATGTTCTATTCTTGGTCTGAGAAATGGGTAGAAGAGTATTTATTATTCTGCTTAAAATATATGAATACATACATGAATACATACCTTTAATGTTTTTATCATAGTTATATATAATGTTGGGGTTCATTTTGACATAATCATATATGCATAGAATATAATTTGCTCTACTTCAGTCCCTAGTACTTCCCCTTTTCCTCCCCTCCTCTTTCCCTCTATTCCCCTTCCTCTACTCTACGGGTCTTCCTTGTGTTTATTTAAAGGTTGTTTTAAATTAGTGCATAAAAAAACAAAAACAAAGTACATGTATAAAGACATGAATTGGCGTGAACATACATTATATACAAAGATATGAAAAATTGTGCTATATATGTGTAATAAGAATTGTAATGCATTCTGCCATTGTATATTTAAAAAATAAAATCAATTTAAAAAGACCTCAAAGTAATAATAATAAGCAATGAATTAAGAATGGGTAGATGTATAAATGAAATAATAATGATAGAATGTTGATAATGATTGAAGGTTGGTTGTGGGCACATGGATATTGTTGTTCTATTCTGTTTATTTTTTATATTTTTTAAATTTTAAATAAAATAGCTTTTAAACCATGATTGAAAAAATAGAAAAAAGAAAAAATAAATTAGTGCATAAACACATATATTTTTAAATACCATTTTCTCCTATACTTCATACTCACAAAAACTATCTTTCATTGAAGGAATCTACTAAAAGAAGTACAGATTTTATCTTTATTTAAGAATGCTAAAAAAAAAGAGAGACTTTTTCTGATTCACAGTCACCCACTGGGAATACAACTGATAAGTTTATGAATCTATCCCATTTAAGTAAATTCTTGACTTTTACCTTGTCAAAAAAAATCCATTGTAGGTTTTCTAAAAATTAGTATTATTGAGAATGACTTTTCAATAAATACAAAAAGTCTGTACACTTCTTCCACTTCTGACTCTAGACCCTCGGTCTGATGGCAATCATTACCTCTTTGGACCACTCACCTGATGCTTAGGTCGTAACTCCCGCTTAGGAGAAAGTGTTCCCCCTCACACAGGAAGAGAGTCCGGATACTCCCCACATGGCCTCGGAATTCAATAGGTATCACCTTGATTTTTAAGATGTTAAGAAGTTTGATCTTCCTATTAGATGACACAGCTATCAACTCTCCCCCAGAATAATGGATCACTCTGTTCTGGTCCCACCTGAATTTTGGGATGGGGATGGGGAAATGGATTATACATGAAAGAAAAGTTAGCATCCTTCCTGGATCTTACTTAGCACTGACTTTTGTATACTGTGGTTGTATAATGGAAAATCTAGGACCTCCCTTGCTGAGAAGGGAGACAGCAGAAGGCAAGACCTAGTATTAACAGACCCTGATGATTCCAACCTCATACCATGAAAAAAAATCCGTTTCAGGTAGATTTAAAGCCTAAAGACATAAGTCCAAAATTATAAAAAAAATTTTTTAAATTATTCTGCTAATGTATGCTAAATCCCCAAGAAAGAGAATAGAATATGTGGCATTCCCCAAACTTATTGGACCATGGAAATCTTTCTTCATGGAAAATCTCAGAGGAAGTCCTATGTTCATCTGTATTTCTTCTATTTCTTTCCTTTCTTTTTCCTTTTCTTATACCCTTCTTTCTTCCTTTTCCTTAACTAATATCTAAGGAACATTTATTAGGTCCAAATTTCTGTGCTAGTAGGTACCATGGGAAATTAAAAAATGAATAAGATACAAACCTTGCTCACCAAAAGCTTAGAATTCAATAAATCCAGGTAAGTTGAATTAATTTTCCAATAATAGAATTATTATGAAGTAACTAAAATATTCTCAGGATAACCAAATAATTTATTATCCAAACTGAGACTTTCTTGTTGTGAAAGAGGATGCTATTAGTTAGTATACTAGGAACACAGTAAAATGGAATTGTCTCAATAATATACTCACTCTAAATATAAGGAGCAATTCTTTAGATTTTTGTCTTCATTCCATTTGTCATATTCAGAGTTTAACCAGTCATCATCTAAAGAGTAATTATCACCATACTTACCCATAAAAATTCAACTCTGGAGCAGGAAGAATAGATAGTATTATGGTTTAGATCTAGACTGTCTCCTAAAACCTCATGCATTGAAGGTTTGGTCCACAATATAGCAATATTTAGAGTGGAGCTTTTGAGAAGTGATTAGGTCATGTTCTGGCTGCATCAGTGGATTAATCCACTGAGGGATTAATGTTTGATGGCATTATTTGGAGATGATGGAAACTGTAGGTGATGGGGCCTCACTAGAGGAAAGATATTACTGGAGACCCACCCTAGAAGAATAGACCCTTTCCTTGCACTCTCTCTCTTTTACACTCTGCTTCTCAGCTGCTATAAGGTGAATAGCTTTCTTCTAACATGCCCTTCCACGATGTCCTTCCACCATTATGTTCAGGCCCAAAACAATGGAGCCCAGCTGAGTATGGATTGAAACCACTGAAAGTGTGAACCTAAATAAGTCTTTCCCCCTCTAAGTTGTTTTTCTTAGGTATTTTGTCCCAGCAATGGAAACCTAACTAACACAGCTAGCTCAGTGGTAGAGTTCTTGCCTAGAATGTGCAAGATCCCAGGTTCAGTCCCTAGCACTGGAAAAAGCAATAACAAAAACCTTCAATTCTGTCTTCCCCATACTGATTGGTCTATTTTTGAGATGCATTTTGTTAATAAAATTCATGGCCAACATTAAAGTAGAGGTGGCACAACCAAATGATGTCACATTATGCAATACTTATAAATACAACTGTCACATTTAATGTGGAAAGATATCCACCGTGTTTTGCTGGATTGGATTACAAAAACATATAGCATAATCCTATTGTTATTCAAAATATGTCCTATGCAGGGGCTAGGGTTGTGGCTCAGTGGTAGAGCGCTTGCCATGCATGCATGAGGCCATGGGTTCCATCCTCATCACCACATACAAATAAATAAATAAATAAATAAAAATTAAAGATATTTTAAAAATTATGCCTTATGCATATGAAAAGAAAATGCTAGAGAATAGACATCAATATTAATGGCAGTTATCTCTATGCGACAAAATTTTAGATGTTTTCTTTTCTCTACACTTTTTCTGGCATTTGGAGGATTTTCCCCCAATAAGCACATATTCTTTCTTTAATTAAAACAATAAAGATATTCTAAAAAAATATTTTATGCACATAACATGTGAAAAATGTTGGTGGTCAGCATACCCAAAATTTATTCAGAGAAAATGTTCTCTCCCTACTACCAAGAATGGTGCAAAATTAAGCACATATTGTTCAAAGAAGATCTCATGCTAGTTCAGGGGCAAGGGTGAGAAGATCTTTCTAAGCTGACAGGGGTCAGGAGAATTCTAAGATGTCAATGTAGTTAATCAAAGTGTCCCAGAAAACCTTGATTCTGACTCCAGTACCTACGTGTCAGAGAGAATGCGGATATTGTAGGTCCCACAGAAAACATTTCTCTCCTCCATCTGGACCTGTTGAGTTTCCTGGTTCTGGTATGCAGTCCACAGATTGTAGTCACTCTAACAAGGGAATATGTGAAGTCAAAATGTGGCATCAACTTTATCCAGGGCTCCTGATACTCCTCCAGTCTCCCCTGGCAATGGTACAAAGACCCATGGATTCTTTCTTCTAAGAGTGTGGCTTCTGCTTCATGGTGAAAGGGGAAAGCCCATGAGTTGGCACCAAAATAATCCATGAGTTATATAGAACATGCTCAGTTAAGGGTCCCAATTAATCTTTCCCCTCTGTATTTTCTATATGTTCTGATTCTAGGAGCTTTTAAGGATGAATTCCAAATAATGCTGAGAATGCAGCTTTTCTGCAAATGAGCTCACAAAGGCTCATATATATATATATATATATATATATATATATATATATATATATAATTAAGCTACACTCTTTGTACATTTCTGTTTCTGAATTTTCATACATCTTCAACTTTCATTGTTCTGAGAGCTGCCTAATGAGGTAGATCACTTGCTCACAAAATATTCTCATCACCTTAACAGATAATATATCTGGGACTCAGGGAGGGGAAAGAAATTTTATAAAGTCTCAACAGAAATGTTTTCCTGTGTTTCTCAACATATTTTTTCTTCCTTTTCTCCTTCCTTCCTTCCTTACCTCTTTTCCTTTCTTCCTCTTCCCTCTCTCCTTCCCTCCCTCACTCATGACACACTTCCTGAGCAGCTATGGCATGCCATGCATGATAAATTCTGATATAGATGATTGAACAACACTCCTAGTTCCTCTTCTTCTCAACCATACTAAACCCTTAAAGAGCAGGAAACAACACTGGCAAGAAAAAATAAAAGACAGCAAGTTTATCATGAAAGCAAAAAAGAAGACCACAAAATCACACTTGCATCTGACAGCCTTGGGGACATCTTTGGATCTCCTTCCAAACCTTCTCCTTCTCCTTCATGCCTTTGGACTCTTCCTCAGATGCCCTCTTTCTCTGCCCAATCTCCTCCTTAATCTTTAATCAAGTAGTGACACTCACCTACAAATCTCTGCTCAGAATGTGCCAGCCTTCCTCCCCTCCAGCCCAAGCAACATTCCATATCCCCACTTGAATTAAACAAGGCTTCCCTGGTTTCTCCCAACAAAGATGGAAATTCCTTGGCCCTCCATTATCCCTCGGTTTTGGGAGCCCTGGAAGGCACATGGTGGAATCATCGGGAAGGAGAAAACACAGCTCTACCCCTCACCAGCTAGGAGACCTCAGCAAGTTTTCTAACATCATAGTCTTAATTTCTACATCCATAAACTAGGAGGGATTATACCTACTTGATCCACAGTGAAAAATCAAATAGATGATGTATATAAAGCCATCAGCACCTTGTCTAACATACTCCTCGCCTTTAGTAGAGAGTGCCTATGGTGAGAAGCATTCACCTCCATTTGTCCCTGGGCAATGGTGCAAGGACCCATGGATTCTCTCTTCTAAGAGTATGGCTCCTGCTTCATGGGGGCAGAGCCTGTAACTGCTTCATCCTGTTATTTTATATGTTCTCTCTAGTCTTCATACTTTCTTCCTTGTTTCTAATTCCCCTCCCTTTTTTAAGACATTTCTGAAATGCCAAACCTTGCCTTGAATATCCTTTTTGTTGGTCAGTTACAAATTCCATCACCTAAAGTAAAGAATAAGGGCATTTGTTTCATTAGACTTAGAAAAGAAATAAACTTGGGAAGGTCAGGGTTGAATTCAACTTGTGCCTCTTTCATGCAAATGTCTGGGAGAACTTGACTTCTCTGAGCCTCACTTTCTTTATCTATAAAATGGGTGAAGGAGATTCTGTTGAGAGTCATCCATGGGCTGTGTGTGGACTATGCTGCGCATTGTAGCCTAGTGAGGGGATAGGTCTGGCATTGGGAACTTCCCATGGCACCCCAACAGGGATAGACCACCTGATGCAGGTGAACTTCCCCCTCAGCTCTGCCAAAGATCCCACATAGCACCTGAGATGGGTGTGACCTGCCATGATGCCAATCAACCTGCTGACTGCAAAACTTCTACCCTTGAAGCCTTATCCCTGCCTCTGATGCACCCCCTTAAATAACCACCAGAGCCATCTTTCCCTTGTCTAGTTCCAGGTCTTGCGCGGACTGATGTATCAGGGGCTCTGCTTTTGTAAATATATTTCTGCCTCTTTGTGTTTTGTTCTTCACTAATTATTTAGACTTTAAGTTTTAAGGTGGCGTACACCCTCCTCAGCAGGAAGAAGACCCCCCCCAACAAGACACTGGCCACTGGCCATTGCTCCCGTTAAGATTCACAAATGTATTTTCTTTGGCCCATGAAATGCCTTTCACTGCTTGCCATTAATTAAGAAAAGCAAAAAATTTCACATAATCATTCAGATTTCCTCCTGAAAACTCATATGTCCTGGCAGGCAGGGGGCAGAGTTATCATAGTAATAATTAGCTGAAGCTGAGCAGTGACTGGCCCCTTTCAGTAGGGAGTGAGCTCTCTAGTTCATCACAGTTTCAATGTCCTTTACTCTCCCCACTGTCTGCTCCCTGATCTAAGTGACCTGCCTGTCGCTACACAGAAGCTAAGTGATCTCTCTGGATGCTTCTATTGCTTAAATTCTTAGTTATGCCACATAAGGAAGCTAAAGTCAGACCACCCTTCATCTAATATCCCTTCTGGGTCAACTAAATAGTAGGACCTTCAGCAGAGAGGTGGGGGAAGGAGTCTAGTGTTCTTAGGAGTAACTACCATGCCTGCAGACTCAATTCATGAAGCTGCAAGAGTCTTTCCTTTACTTTATCACTGCCTAAGAATAGATGGGGTGATTTTATCTAGAATCTCTCCTTCCATCCAAGAAACGAAAAGAACCCAGATGTGAGAGTTGAGAAGGCGGACCTTTTGGATCAACGCTGGTCCTCCTCTCAAGTTTTTTCTCATTCCTGAGCAGCAGATTCAAGTAGCCTCAAGATGGATGGGCTGAGAGAGTTGAGGGAAACCCCAGCTCAAAGCTGAATTCACTCCTGGTCTCTGAGCTCTCCACTAGATGATCTAGTGCCATGAACACAGGTCCTGGCCACAGGATATGAGCCAAAAAGAATCCCGAGAGGACAACCCAATCAATCTATTCATTAAACAGATGGGGAATCAAGATCTATGGAGGGGAAGTGACTTGCAACTTGGTAGCAACACAGAACAACTCTGGTCTCCCTTAGGGAATAGTGCCTCCTACCATCACTATCCTTTCTTGAGGACTGAGTCTCTATGTCAGCCTTCAATGGCCAATAGGAGCATTGGACACTCATGGAACTTGCCCCAGGCGCCATTAAAACTCACCTTTGTTCTCAGTTTCCACTTGGGATTTTTGGTACCCATGCGCTTCCCATCATCTCCTATTTTAGGAACTGGGATAGAAAGCTTGTTGGCATAATTGGGATCTATTCCTTTTGTGTAGGATCCCTGGAGAGGGGGAAAAAAAAAACAGAAAACGGCTGCTCTTGGATAGCTGCACTCTCATTTATTGCAGCAATATTCACAATAGCCAAGTATAAAAATGTCCTATTCATGGTGAATGGCTAAAGACAATGTGGTATATACAACCGAATACTATCCTGTCATTAAAAAAAAGGAAGGAAATCCTGTCATTTGCAACAATGTGGATGGCAGTGAGGACATTATGCTAAGTGAAATAAGCCATGCACAGAAAGATAAATACTATGTGAATGGGCCTCATGTGCGGAACCTAAAAAAGCTTACTTCATACAAGTGGAGAGTAGAATAATGGTCAGCAGAGGCTAAGGTATTTCAGGTGGAGTGGAGATGGAGAGATGTTCGTCAAAGGATTCATAATTATAGTTAGATAAGAGAATTAAATTCAAGGGGTCTATTGTATAGCAGGTGACTATAGTTAATAATGATATATATTGTATTCTAGAAAAATGCAAAGAGAGTAGATGTTAAGTGCTCTTGCACCACAAAATTGAGAACTATGTGAGGTGATGCATTTGTTACTTAGCTGTAAATTTTTTATAAAACAAGAAATGACAACTCTTCATTCCTTCTCTCCAGGAGAACAGAAAAGACTAGTTTTTGGTAAAATCTGAAGATGGGTAAACTCTGTCCAGGGAAGGAAGGTCCAAGTCTGGCAAGTTATGCTAATGATGTGCATGGACCAATGGAGGAGGAGGATGACTATCAAATGCCTGGAGGAAGACCAGCAAGAGATGGTCATCAGTTTCCAGATGATGACCTGCCTTACCATGCCTGCGTCTTCTCATCCGTTGTCACCTACCTCTGCTGGGGGGAAAAAAAATTCAAGACCACCAAGATATCAGGCAAGAAACTGAGTAGTAAAAATGCCAGAGATAATGACTGTCAGGTAGAAAATTTCTTATGGACCTAAATATATTCTTGGTGACCTTGTAAACTTCTCTATAGCATGAGTTTGGTTCAGAAGCGTATTCATGGCTTTCTTATTGTGTAAGCTCCAATATGAGTCCTTGGGTGGGGGGTTGAAAATTCCCTGCTTTGTGAGATTATGTTTTGCTTCATATTTTGCAGCTCTGGGGATGGATCCCAGGACTTTATTCATACTAGGCAAGTGCTCTACCACTGAGATACATCCCAAGCCCTGGCAGTTTTGGAAAGGCTTGGCCTCTCTGTTACAGACAAATTTTTATACATATTGTCCCTGCTATGTACACTGACAATAGAAGGGTAAATGGTGACCAATAGGGAGTCCAGACAACAAGAAAGTGGCTACTAATACCTAACAAGCAGCTAATGTGAAGCAGGAGGCCAGCTGAGGGTCTGCCAGGGAAATGAAAAGGCGCATAGTTAGGTAAACCTCAACATGGAAATGAAGCTGGTCTCCAGAGATGCCCCTCCCAGACTGGAAATACCTGCAAGAGGGCAATTTGGTTCTGAATGAAGGTTTGTGTGTTCAACTCCATCTTCACCTGATGAGCCATCGCAGCCCAGTGCTGGCTTACAGAGGCACACTTGTTCAGAGTGTTTCTATCGAGCATTCCTAGGGGAGTGGTAAAAAACAGAAAGATGGGCCCAGAAACCCCAGGATTGGGCCAGAATGGGAGGTCTCTGAGGACTCCCCTCATCCATCCCAGCATACTTAGAATGTACTTGGAGAGATGGAGAGGGAGGTGACGGATAAAGTCCCGGTATCTGCTGTAGCCACAAGACAGGTCTCTGACATCATCCAGGTTTATCAGCAGATTGCAGGAATTGTCTTCTGATCTCGATGTGATTGTTTTTCCAGAAAACATTCTGTTCATCTCGGAAATACACTGCAGTGTATTCTTCCATTGTCCCTCTAGAGTGAAGCCAGAGAAGGGTGCATGGTTGAGTTGTCTCTACAGTAACTCTGGCCTCAGAACAAATCCTCACCAAAAGCTTCCCTCCCAAAAATAAAGCTTATGCAAGTGAGCTCATGCAACATATTCTTCTTATCTCTTCTGCCACATGAAAATAGTACTTCCTGACCCAAACATGCAATTCGTTTACTGCCTTCTCAGTGACAGGAGATGTCTAAAGTAGCAAAGCCTGAAATGACATCGTATCTGGAATTTCTTTGAAAATATCCCAACAAGAAAAAAATTAAGCAATTTTTAAGGGGTAGAGATGGATAAAATAAGATTAGTAGGGTTTGAGATGTAGCTCAGGGTAGATGCTTGCCTAGCAAGTATGAGACCCTGAGTAAACTATTGACAATTGTTAAAGCTGAATAATGGTTATATGGATGATTTATTAGACTGTTCTATCTACTTAAAGAAAAGTTATATATATTACTTTTAGTTGGACACAATATCTTTATTTTATTTATTTTTATGTGATGCTGAGGATTGAACCCAAGGCCTCACACATGCTAGGTGGGCACTCTACCATTGAGCCACAACCCCAGTCCTGTTCTATCTACTTTTAAAGTTTGGAATTTTCCATATAAAAGGTGTTTTAGAATTTATGCTTTGTGTTTCTCATGATTATTTTATGTACTAGTCATATGCCACACATTATTGACTGGTGTTTCAGTCAATAATAGACCATGTGTGTGATGGTGGTTACACCATATAGCCTATGTCTACTATGTCTACTATGGTGTATAGTAGGCTATACAACATCTTGGTTTGTGTAAGTACACTTTATGTTGTTCACACAATGGTGAAATCAACTAACAACATGTTTCTCAAAATGCATCTCTGAAGTTAAGATGATTCATGAGTGTACATATCTTATTTCAAAAACAAACTTAGGAGGGCCTTTGAGATCAGGGACCAAATTCCTCACTGCTTTAGTTTCTTCCTCAAGACTAAATCCAAAGCTTAAAAAAAATTAGCCACAGGTGAGTTGGATCCTAGAGGTACCCATGCACTATGCCAAAGCTCAGAGCTGGATGGTGGGTTATGACCTGGGACAGAAGGAGATATCATAAGAAGCTCTGTAAAGTTTCCTTTTGATCTTTACTTCCAGATGTCTCTTGTAAGCATCATGGTGGAAGGACAAAAGCATGAGCTTTGGGGTCATACTGACCAATTTTTATCCTTCATCCCTTACCAGGTTACCAGCTGTGAGGAGTAAATGAGAAAAAAAAAATCAAAGAGCCCAACACACTGGAGATGCTGAGTGAATGTTAGTTCCCAAAATCTGATACAATCAGAGGTCACTGCCCTCCCAGCCCCTCCAACTCCACTAAGACTTCCCAATCTCATATATTCAGAGACTCTTCAATTTACATAGGGTTACATCCTCCACAAATAAAAACATCCCTAAGTTAAAAATACCATAACTTGGGCTGGCATTGTGGCTCAGTGGTAGAGCGCTTGCCTCGCGTGCGTGAGGCCCTGGGTTCAATCCTCAGCACCACATAAAAAAAAAAATACCATAACTCAAAAATGCACTTGATCCACTCTAACCCATTGTTAAGTTGAAAAAAAAAAAACAACACAGCAAGTCAAATCATCACAAATAAAGATACTTCTGACTTAAGGTGAGATTATATCCCAATAAACCCATTGTAAATTTTAAAAAGTGATGAGTTAAAAGTGCTAAGCCAGTAGTTGTACACTGGCTTTCTTGCTAAAAGCTGACTTACCAGTATGTGATGCTTCTCTCTCCAGCTTTTCAGGCACTGTTTTATTTCCTGGGGCTTTAGACAACGGGAAAGATGTGGGCTTGAGTTTAGCTGCCCAGAAGATATGTGAAGTCTTAGACTTGGGGTCGTAGCCTTTCTCAGGGAAAAAACTCACATGGGCAGAGTCTTGACTAAGCGCTAAAGAACAAAACACCAAGACAAAGTTGCTCTTCAAGCAGGTATACAGAACATGAGACAGAGGTCAATGGTTTTATTTTTCCTTATTTCTTTTACGAATAGTCTGTATCTGTAGACTGTTTCTGCATGTTTTTCATTCTTGGATTCAACCAATCACAGATATAAAATATTGAGGAAAAATAATGAATCTGTACTAAACATGTACAAACATTTTTTTTCTTGTCATTATTCACTAAGCCATATAGGATAATAACTTTTTTGCCTAGCATTTGCATGTATTAGGTATTATATAAGCAATCCAGAGATCTCTAGTACTCTAGAGGAGTTAAAGTATCTGAGAGGTTCTATGCAAATACTGCACCATTTTATGAACATGAATAACTGTCTTAAATCAAATTAGAAAACTTAACTCTTTAAGAGAGAATATGTCCTAGGAAGAAGAGGGTCACCACAATTTATAACTGAACTTATTAGCTCTAACATAAAGAGCTGATTCCTAGAGTGCATGGTGGAGCTTTTGAAATACACCACATGAGTATGTTCCACCATGGGAGATGCTCAGGAGAAGACACAGATATCAATTCACTTGCTGAGTGACCTAAGCTCAGTTGCTCAGATTCCCCGGACTGTGGCTTGCTTATCTATAAAATTAAGGAATGGGACTGTTTGATCACCAATCTAACTCATGGTTTTGACACGCCAGTCTTCTATCATTTTTCACCCCAGTTATCATTCTTTTATATCCCTGACATGGATGAAAACAAGTGAAATACTTAGGGATCAAATTGTACCCTAGGACCCTGAACCATGTACAACCAGAGGAATGAGAAGTTGTGCTTCATCTGTGTACTATACGTCAAAATGCATTCTACTGTAAAATAAATAAATAAATGAAATTTTAAAAAAAAATCGTGCCCTAGGTTATTTAACTTTAAAATTCCTTTGGATTTCATTAGCCTGCAAACATGATCACAACTCAAGCCTCCTTGACAATAGGAATTACCCATCTTCAAGAGCTCAAATTCCAAAACCCCTCCAAGAAACTCACCCTTCCCACTCTTTTCCTACCCCAACCCCCCTTCCCTTCCCCTTGCTGGAAATTCCAACTCTTAGTCCCCTCCTAATCTTGAGTCCCTTGCCTCTCTTATGGTTTCTTTTGCCTTCCTAAACCAGCTGGCCAAACACTTTCAAAAGTCTCCTATGGATACCCTACACTAATGACTCTCAATATGATGTTTCCAGACTAGTGGCATTAGCAATAGCTGAAAACTTATTAAAAATACAGCATATTGACTACCTCAGACCTAATGAGTAAAAAGTTCTACTGCAAGAGGACAACAATCTGTTTTAACAAGTGTAACTGGAGACTCTGATGGAAATACAGTTTGAGAACTACCGCCCTAGAATCATTTGGATGTTTAGCTACCTCCAACCTTGAATAAACTCCACTTCAAGATTTGATTCTATGATAAAAAAAAAATAGGGCAGAATGAATGTTTTTAAAGTCCTAAGCTCTAACCTCTTGGCTTGGTTTCTGAGCAGGGCTATTGAAGAACAAACCAGTTTTGCAACTTCCCCATTACATCCCTCCCAAGCCCAGTCTAATAATCCCTAATGCAGGAATGAAATGATACCAGCACTGAGTGGTCAGAGGCAGGGACCAGCCATTTCTGAACCTAAGTCATGCAGAAACCCATTTCAAATCCTCACAGTTTCAAGTCCTAAACTTCCTCCTGCATTGGCCATTTTTTTTTTAGTTTTCTAGAAGGAAGTCACATTCAGTGATTTCTCCTTGGGCAAACAAGATCAAATGTCAGGACAAGGTTCAAAGAAGACTTTCCTGCATTACACAATATTCGTCTGCCTAAGCTTGTCTGCACCTGCTGCTCCTTGTAGTCTTGCTTTCTGGTCTCCCAGGGCCCTCTTCTCCCTACCTGTTTACCTGAGATATTGTTCCACTCTCTCAGAAACAGGACTCTGATCACATCGGCAGCCATGAGCAGTAACTTGGTGTCACACATCTGCAGCAGCAAAAGAGTGTAATTTGCCTTCGTCTGGTGGGTGCTATTGCCAAACCAGTACAAGATCTCACTCAACTTTTCTTCCGCAGTTTTATCCAACATTTGGTTCAAGGAGGATTTCGCTTTCCCCTCCATCCTGAGATTGATCCGGGACCTGTTATAGATGAAATCCTTTCCCTGGGTAGTCTGAAGGATATTTTGGAAGTAGTTTAACAAGTACAAGCTGTTTAACTGTTCCAGAATGCTAACTAGAAACCTCCTCTGCGACATGCTGCTGATCCTTCGGAACCACTCTTTGGTAGAAAAGATCTTCCAGGCTAAGATACATGTTTCACACTTCTGGCACAAAGGGACAGAATCATTTCCCTTCTCACAACGAAAATAGGGGGCATTCTTGAGCCTTGGTTCCAGGTTTGCCATGATCCTGAGATAACCAGATCATTTTATCCTTGCCAGTTAGAAACTCTGTACCAAACACCGGAGGAACAGAGAAAGTGGACAAAAGCCCCTACTGAGCCTTTTCTGTTATAAACATCTCCCGGAGAAAAAGTAAACCATAGTGACCAATGGAAAGTTTATCTGACCCAGAAACTGCCAGTAGAAGTCTGGCTTTTTGTACTGACCTCCTTGGAAACATGGCTTTACCGTAAATCTCCTAAACCTGGCACTGCTTTTGTGGAGGCAGTTGCTGTATATTCTGAAAGAGCTGGTCATCTCATTTCTAGAATGAGAATACTGCAAAAATTTAAATAATATGTGCTTTTAAAGAGGAAAAAATACCATGTAGCTTGGTGTTGCACTTCAATTGTTGTTATTAATGACTTTTAAATCTTCATAAATATTTAATTAGATATAAGCTTCTTATGTTTATAGCTATTCAGTTATAAGGTGGCTATCTCAATGATCCCGAAGAAGTTTATATTCAATTTCTTAAGGCATCATCAAAGTAAAACCACAAATATTTAAATTACATTGAAATTGTTTAACTGCTTCAGAATGCTAACCAGAAATCACTTCAGAGAATCACACTGAGGTACAGAAAATTTTACTTGACCTGAGAATATGTGGGGGGGGGTGGACTGCCAGATGCAATAACATACCTATCTATGTGTAGGGGACACAGCACAGCTCATCAGCAAAGAGTGGAGGGTCTGGGGTTAGACTGCTGGGTTGGGACCCCAATACAGCCTTTTACTAGCTCCCGTGAACACAGGCAGATTATTTAATCCTCTATGTTTCACTGTCCTCATCTGTAAAATATAGACCACACTAGTTCCTACTTCTAATGCTATAATGAATATTCAGTGAGAATCTACATGCAAAGCACTTAGAAGATTGCCCAGTACCTGTGTAGCCCTTTATACATGCTAACCTGCATGGTATTGTCATCATGATTACTGTCGTCCCCACTTAGCCATGGGGATGCATCCAAATTCCCAGTGGACACATTAAAACCACAGATAGTAAAAATCCTTACATGTGTTATGCTTTTTCCTATACATACATAGCTATGAAAAAGTTTGATTTATAAATTAGGCACAGCAAAATAAATTAGACTCAGAAAGACAAGTAACTCATGTTTTCTCTCATATGTAGAATCTGGGTGGGGAAGACAATATGAAAAAAGAAGGGGGCACTGTTAGGGAAAGGAAAGGGTTCATGGGGGGGAGGGTAAGAAGGAGTAATAGGGATGGCAGATATGATCAAAGCATGCCATATGCATGTATGAAAATGTCACAATGAAACCCATTATTTTGTACAATTAATATGTGCTAATAATTATAATATATAATTATATGCCAAAATTAAATAAATGAGGCACAGTAAGAAAATAATGGTGACTAATAAAAAATAGAAAAATTATAATAATATAATAAAAGTGTGTGAATGTAGTCTTTCTCTTTCAAAATATTTTATTGGACTGTACTCACCACTGAGCTGCATCCCCAGTTCTTTTATTTTTCTTTTTTTAATTTTGAGACAGAGTCTCAAAATTAAGTTGTTGAAGGCCTTGCTAAGTTGCTGAGGCAGGCCTCAAACTGGGGATCCTCTTGCCTTTGCCTCCAGTGTTGCTGGGATTACAGGCATGCACCACCACACCTGGTTTACCCTTCTTTTTGTGATGAAGTTGCCAATAGTTCAGACAGAGGTTGACTGAGCATAACTGAAGCCTCAGAAAACAAAACTGCAGATAAGAGAGAACTATGTGTTGTCATTGAGATTGTTGTTTTGGGCAAACAATTGATATCCTTACCATGTTTATATGTGTGTGTCCATCCTATATTGAGATGCATGTAAGAAAATAATGTATGTATGTATACAGGTGTATAGCTTTTAAAATAAAAATGACATGAAGATGTAAGTCTTACCAGTTTTCTGAGACCTTTACCCTTTGGCTCTAGCTTATGACTCATTCAGGAGCAATGACTTGGGCCATTAGAGCTAAACCCATGAACATACTCTGCCCCAGAGGACCTGGTCCACAATCTCCTTCACAGCTACCTGTCCAGGTCAGTCAGCAGGGGCTCAGGAAAGAGCACTGCTTCAGAATAGGGAGCATGAACTTCAGCCACCCTCTGCCACAAGCAGCTGTGTACCTCAGGATAATTCACTTGCCTCTCTAGGCTCACTGTCTCCTTCCTTGAAATGAAAATCACAGTCTCATCTGGCACACAGGTGGCCATCAGGGTTAAATGAAGGAACTTTTACACAGTGTCAAGAGTCATGTAAGTATGGTTATTATCATTAGGGAACACAGGGAGATGGTATTGTCTCATCTATCACCTTCTTATTATGTGGTACAGGCTGAGCATCCCTAATCCAAAACACCAAAATTGGAAATATTCCAAAATCCATAACTTTTGAGTGCCAACTTTATGTCTCAAGTAGAAAATTCCACACCATGATACTTTGTTTCATGCACGATATTATTTAAAATATGTATAAAATTGCCTTCAGGCCGCATGTATCAGGTATAGATGAAATCAATATATTTCCTGTTTATACTTGGACCCATCTACAAGATATCTCATTATATATGTAAACATTGTGAATGAAACCCAGGGAAAAAAATCTGGAAATCTGACACACTTTAAGTTTGAGGCAAGGCTTATTCAACCTGGATGACACTTGTTGCCAAAGTTAAATAAGAAAAAAAATCCTTTATTTGTGAGAAATTAGTGTTTCCAAGTCACTAACTTGTCTTTTGACTTAAAAAGGAGGGAATAGAAAAACATGGAGGTGTTAGTTTTCTATCACTATAACTTAATGCCTGAGACAATTAACAATTAACTTTAAAAAAGAGAGAAGGTTATTTGGCTCATGGTTTCAGAGGTTCAAGTCTAAGACTGGGCAGACCCATTGCTTTGAGCCTTTGGTGAAGGTGCCAGATAGTTATGGTTGGAAGCATGTGGCAGAGCAAACTGCTTACCTCATGGACCAGCAGAACAAGAGGAAGAGAGGAAGGAGCCAGGGTCCCATAACCCCCTTCAAGGACACATATCCAATGACCCAAGGTGCTCTTACAGACCCCACCTACTAAAGATTCCACCACTTCCCCAAGATGCCAACCTGGGGATCAAGCCTTTAACACATGGACCTTCAGGAACACTATCCAATCCATAGCAAAGGGCACTGGCTAGAAAAGTTTTATTAGCACAAAGATGAGAATTAAGAGAACACAGAAATGTTCTCAACTTAGCTGAACCCCAAGGAGGTAGCTTGCAAACTCCTGGGGTGGCCAAAAACATCTTCCTGATTGTACTGAACTCACAGCACAGGCACTTGCTATTGGTAGTGAAGAGAGAACCGTCTCAAGAGAATAGATGAAAAGGAGTGGTTCTTAAAGCTAAGGGTGCATCAGAATCCCCAACAGTCCTTCTTAAATCAGAGGGTCCTTCTTAAAACTCCAGGTTTTGGGAGTTTCTGAGTCAGGAGGTCTGGATTGAGGTCCTAAGATGTTGCATTTCATACAAGTTCCCAGGTGAGCTGATGCTACTGGTGGAGAAACCACTTTTTGAGAAGCACTGAAGTAAGCAAAGCTCGTGTCTCAAAATCTGTGCAAGTGACTTCATATCAGAAATAAACATGAGTTATTTAATTCTTTCATAATTTATTATCAAATAACCTGGAGCAAGCTATTTAACCTATCTGAGCTGTTACACTTTTCATCTTCATTCCATAAAATAGGGAAAGTAGTATCTACATTCCGGGGCTGCTGAGGTTAAATGAGATAAGAGATGGGACATGGCATTTGAAAATGGTACTCAAAATGCAATTTCTTTTCTATTTCTTATCCATCTTTATAAAATCTAAGGTTTTTAGAGGATATCTGGGGACCTCATCAGAACCTCAGCAAAGGTGGATTTGGAGATAGAAAGAGGACCCAGAACTTCTCATTGTCTGGCCAAATGAATCTACTATTTAAAAGTTCTTATGTGTGCTAAAGGAGTTTCCAAAGACCATGAATCCTTCTGTATGATGGTTTCCTGGCTTATGTTTAAACACACACTTAAAATTATGCAGCTTTTGTAGCTTTTTATAAGATCTAGCTACCTGTTTAGTGTTGATGAATAACATGATCGGTTGGTTAAGGGTGTAGAAGTGATCACTGATGTTCTATAAATAAGAAAAGGCTTACTACAGGGCTGGGTGCACTCTGAGAGATTATGTGGGGAATCTCATCCCCCCCAATTGTTTAGATGGGGAAAATGAGGTCCATAATAATTAAGCAAGATACCCAAATATCCCTCATAGAACTAGAGTAAGCTTAAAGCGCAATAATGAAAAATAGATGAAAAAATAATGTATTTCAAGGAAAGTAGGATTTGGCTTTCCTGCATAAAGGTGGATAGATTTTTCACTTCCCTGAGATGGAAAGAAAGAAACTTTGGACTTCTAGTGCCTGGTTTGAAGAGCAGGTCAAGAAGAGCATAAATCATAGAAATGAGAACGGAAACAAAGAAGAGAAAAGGTGGCAAAATGGAAATTAGAAACAAAGTAAGAAAATAAAAGACTAGAAAGATATCCGGATGTCCTTTTTTCCTGGATCTTTCACCTTAATCCTTCCAACTGGGATTCAGAACGGGATGCTGAGGGAAGTATACTGAGGGAAGCACAGAATTTGACCAAAAAAAAAAAAAGAAAACTAAATTAAATAAATAATGCACTACATAGTTTTGCTCCCATGGTTTCAGTTACCCATGGTCAACCACAGTCCAAAAATATTAAGTGGCAAATATTACAAAGACACAATTTATTAATTTTCAATTGTGCATAATTCTGAATAGTGTGATGAAATCTCTTAATATCCCATCCTGCCCAGAACATGAACCATCCCTTTATATATTATATCTATGTTATATACACTTATCCACTTATTAGTCATTTAGTAGCCATCTCAGTTTTCAGATTGACTGTCAGAGTATCACAGTGCTTGTGTGAAAGTAACCCTGATTTAACTTTGTAGTAGCTCCAAAGAGCAAGATGATGCTTGCAATTTAGATATGCCCAAGAGATGCCATAAAGTGCTTCCTTCAGGTGAAAGATCAAAGTTCTAGACTTAATAAAGAAAGAAAGAAAATCACATGCTGAAGTTGCTAAGATTCACA